TCATCTTTATGAGCAGGTATATTGTATAAACACAGATACATAAATATAGATATATTACTCTGAAATGAAATGATGAAACAAAATGGCTGATTTTAATAAACTAAAGAACACCTCCCTCTTCGCATGATCTTGAAATGAACCAACTAAGGAGTGGTGCATTCCTCAGCGTGAGGTCTTCCATGTGCAAAATTAGAGCCAGGACATGCGGCGAGCCCAATGATCTGACCGAACATGTGCCTCTAAGTGCTTCCTAATGAACACTGAGGTGTCCAGGGGCGCCGCAGTGCTCATCAATCTCTGCATTGATGATGGCAAGAAATTTCACAGGATGGTCATTTGCTGGGAATAGATGTCTACCCTGCTCCTTCTTTGCCTTCGGTAACAACAAAGCGCCACAAAGGGCACAATCCAGCGAGACAGCGAGCTGCCCCAGAAAGTTAACAGCATTCAGTCACTTATTTGCAAGTGTATTTGCAGCTGATAAATTGAACAGACTTTCATTTGGACAAATGTCCATTTTCTCTTACTAATTTGAAGAAGGATTTTTAAAGACAAAGCCCATCAAACATTAGATAAGCATTTTAAGTTAATGGACCATGTAGTCCTATTTCCCCACAAACTCAGGAGGCATCACATTATGTCCTATTTTTACAGCAACATCAATTATTAATATGTATATTTTTGCTGACAGAGGACCTTGCTATAAATGTAGGTTTCGTTATCCAGTTCTGGGTCATTAACTATGGAAAGCTTGTAAATATAATGGTTTATTCACATGGGAAGCCTTCATTAAGATGCATTATTCTACAGCTGATGTATTTCAATATATAGTATACTATCGTGTTCTCTATCTCCCTTTAATATTTGTAATTTATTTTTAAATGAGTTGCTGTTTATGCAGTGAGTTAACAAATTTGAATTCCACATGACCAAAGTTGCTAAAGAGGAAAAGATGTTTTAGCCCAAAGGAAAAGCTGCTCATTAACATAGGACCTAAATATGTTATAACCTTTAAATTCAAAAGCAACCAGAGAAAGGAGCCACAAATGACCCAAATGTATTTTTGTCAGAGAAAGTCTATATCAAGAAACATGCATGAATACACACATATTAACAGCACAGCGTGGTGTAATAGGAGAAACACAACACTAAAGGAGCCGGGAAGCCTTATTGCTGGATTCTTCATTAACGTGGAATGACAGGAAAGTCACTGAGTTCTGAACCTCTGTTTCCTCATCTGTTCAGTAGGATAGTCATGTCCTCATTCTTACCTCAAATAATAGATGTGTGGCCAACGTGGTGAAACCCCGTCTCTACTAAAAATACAAAAATTAGCTGGGTGTGGTGGTGCACTCCTGTAGTCCCAGCTACTCAGGAGGCTGAGGCAGGAGAACCACTTGAACCCGGGAGGCAGAGGTTGCAGTGAGCCGAGATCGTGCCACTGCACTCCAGCCTGGGCAACAGAGTGAGACTCTGTCTCACAAAAAAAATATATAAATAAAAATAAAATGAAATGAAAATAGATGTGGACATGACTAAAGAAACGCAGCACAGGAATGTGTAAGACAGGAACCATGCCAAGGGGCTATTAGGAAAATCCAGTGACAGCTGAGTGTTTTGTTGCACTCATGGATTGTGGAAGTATTAGGAAGTTTCTTGGACACATCGTATAGGGCTGTTGACAAGACACAAATTAGAATCACTTGCTCATTCATTCATTTGTAGGGATGAAAGGAGAAAAGACTCAGGTAAAATATAGTTTGTCTGTATACGTCTAAGAAGGAAATCTACAAATAACGACAGGAACAACATAATTTGGAGAAAAGCAACACCAGATGATACATTATACAGTAGATAATTGTGACATTATTAATACAAGACTTCAATCAGAGGCAAAAAAAAAAATTGGGGTCATTTATTGCAGAGATCCATTTTAACATCTCCATGAAAACTAAATTAGCCATTGGAGAGATTAAAGTCTCTATATGAATTTATGCTATATGTCTTACACACTTAAGATGTAAACACTAGGAATGAAAAACATTACCTGGACAATATAAGAACTGGATATTTTAATGATAATATAAAGGAAATTCCTACTGTTCAGTTTTGACACAAATACATAATATAAAGAAAAGTCATGCTTTTGAGCACCTTTATTGAGGCAATTAATGATCATTTGTTTTTAACATTGTTCTTTAAAATGATTCTGTAATTCTCATTCTATATTTGCTTTTATATTACTTTAAAAAGTAATTTTTAGGGTTTTTCTTCTAGCATCATAAAAGTTGTATTTTCTCAGCCAGGCATGGTGGTTCACCCCTGTGATCCCAGCACTTTAGGAGGCAGAGGCGAGTGAGTTGCCTGAGTTTAGGTGTTTAAGACCAGCCTGGGCAACACAGCAAGACCCCATCTCTACAAAAAGTATAAAAAATCACCCAAGTGTGGTGGTGCGCACCTGTACTCCCACTACTCAGGAGGCTGAGGTGGGAGGATTGCTTGAGCCCAGGAGGCAGAGGTTGCAGTGAGCTGAGATTGTGCCATTGTACTCCAGCCTGGGTGACAGAGTGAGACTTTGTCTCCAAAAAAGAAAAGTTGTTTGTTCTCATTTTACTAAACTTAGAAAATTGGCTCAAATTTCCTTAGGATTTTCTAATGCATATATTTACCAAGTATGATATATGTGGTTTCCTGTTCTCTTTTCACTGACTTTATGGGGTGAGTGGACACTGTATTTTAACGACATCTTCATTGTGAAATCCCTCCCACCTCCAGAGGTTCATAGGTATTTCTTTGAGAGTGTGTGTATATGTGTGTGTACATTTGTGTTACATTTAACTAATTCGTTCAAAATTTTAGTTTAAGACATGAATTGAATCTTTAAGATAATGATTTTTTTGAAGTAATTGATTTAAGTTTATAGTTTTGCTAATGTCTCTTATAAACAGGGTCTTGAATTTTGTCATATTCTTGTTTCACAGCTTTCAAAATGGACTTTAACGTTGTTCTCTTACCCTTGGACATTTCTTTACTCCAGAGCTCCCTAGTATTCCTGGATTTCGCCCACTTAGCTATTGGTGCAGCCTGTCCTAATGACAACAATCACAATAGTGTTCACCATAGTGACTACAAAATATAAGAAAGGAACAAGTATAAAATAAGAAACTATTCTGGGAATATAAGAGCATGCCCAAAATTAAAACAACAACAGTAACCACTCCAAAATTTAAATAATCCAAATGGTACACATAACTGAAAAGCAAATTGGTTCTGGAAGATAAAGCTAAAGAAATCTCCTATCTGCGCTATAACATAGTGATTTTTTTCTCCTATTTGCACTATCACCTAGTGCAAATAGACAAATGGAAAATATAAAAGCTCAGAGTCATGAAAGATCAATCTGGTGGTCTGGCATTTATCTAATGTTTACTGCAGACAAGGAAATGGAGAGAAAGAGATAATAGAAGGAAAACTTGAAGAGTTGAAGGTAATGCTTTGTATTGAATAGACCTACCAAAGGAGAATACAATGAATGAAGAAATGCCTACACCTAGATACATTTTAATGAACTTTCGAAACTCTTAAGAGTAAAGCATTATAAATACTTTCAGGGAGGTAAACAGCTTACTTGCAAAGGAACAACAATTCCGTTTGCAAAAATGGAGCTGGAAACTCTACATATTAGAAGTAGAATTCCTCAAAGGAACTACCAAAATGCCATTCAAGTGGGAGGGACCAAATGAAGACATCCTTACAAATGCAAGTCCTTATAATATTTATGGCTGTACATATTCATTCTGAAAGTTACACTCAAGGACATACTTCAGCAAAAGGAAAACTGAATACAAAAAAGAACAAGGGTCATATGGTTTGGATGTTTGTCCCCTCCAAATCTCGTGTTGAAATGTGATTCCTAATGTTGGAGGTGGAGCCTAGTGGGAGGTGATGGATCATGGGGGCAGATCTCTCATGAATGGCTTAGCACCATCTCCTTGGTGATAAGCGAATTCTCTCTGTTCACACAAGATCTGGTTTTTTATATGAATCTGGGACCTCCCCTTCTTTCTCTCTTGCTCCCTTTCACCACGTGAGGCACTGGCTCCCTGTCATCTTCCGCCATGATTGTAATTTTCCTGAGGCCTCACCAGAAGCCACGCAGATGCTGGCACCATGCTTCTCATACAGCCTGCAGAACTATGAGCCAAAATAAACTTATTTTCCTTATAAATTACCCACCCTCCAGTATTCTTTTATAGCAGTGCAAAAATGGACTAATGCAAAGGGTAAACAGAGAAACCAGGACATCTCATAGTTAAATGTAAACACATGTTTTCAAAATTAATTACAGTCTATGATATTATAAAATGAGAGGTTGTGGGAAGAAAAGTGAACACATGCATAGGTCCTATACTTGTTCAAAGAAGCTCTAGATTATGATAAATTCTAGACAGATAGAAATATAGATATTAAGTAACATGTTAAAATTTTAAGATAACCAGTAGAAGATTAAAATAAGATGTATAATTTTTAAACCACTACATGATAAGAATGAACAAAACTAACTCCATAAATCCAGCAGAAGGTAGGAAAGGAAAAAAACAAAACAAAACAAAAAGAAAGTGTGTTAGATAAGAAACTTAAGATAAGAAGATTATCTCCAAATGTTTCTTCTATACAATGAATAAAATTTTTCTTTTCTGTAATTCTCAGATTGAGTTTTTTTAATCCAGATCTATGTTGTTGACAAGAGAGAAACCTCAAACATATTGAAGCTGAAAACTTCAAAACAAAAGAACATAAAGCATTACGTCAGGGACTGTGGATTAAATACACTGAGTAAATGTACTCAGTTAGCTTTGCTTCCTCTGGATGCTTGCATTTCTTATTTGCCTTTGCTGGGACACTATGGAAGATATTAACACATTTGTTTAGTTTCTGATATTTTTGCCAGCTCTGTAACTTTTATGACCTCAAACCTTTTTGTTTGTATATATTTTCAGAATCCACCTCCTCTCTTTAATGAAGTCAGTGCTACAGTAATCCAGGCTGAGAAGGTGGACCGCCTGCGGAACGAGGTGCAGATGAAGCATGAAGAGGACTACAGGGAAGCCCTGGTTACCATCAAGAATGACCTAAAGTTGATAGAAGGCCTGGACATCAAGGAGAACCTTCAAGACCAGATCCGGCATTGGTTCATTGAATGCAGGTGAATATGAGCTACATCGTGATATGTCCAGACAGTCTGTTCTTTAGTGTCTGAGGTTATTGTATGTTTTTAAGCACAGAAGCATATTGATATAGAGTCATGAGGTTTCTTGGCTTCGTTTTAGAAGCGTGAAGTGCCAAGGCTAAGAATTCAGAAATTAATTTTTTTAAATATGGAAAAACGGCCCACATAGTGCCTCTGTGACCAGATGGCTTGGAATATAATGGGTGCATGACATAGCCCCAGGATGGCAGGACTTCACATGCCAGGTCTGTCCGAAAGCCACGGGACCCAGAAACAACCTTCCCTTCTGGCATCTAGCCAGCCTCTCTACTTGTAAGAAGCTTGAGATTCTCGATCATGGTCCCTCTCAGTCATAATGCTTTGAGGCAGCTGCTGATTCCTGGGACTTGACACCTGGCCACCAGGTCTCCTTGAAATGATGGTGTGTTATGTGGTTCTTGCGTTGCTATGAAGAAATATCTGAGGCCAGATAATTTCTAAGGAAAAGAAACTTAATTGGCTCAAGGTTCTACAAGCTTTACGGGAAGCATAGTGCTGGTATCTGCTCCTGTTTGCCTTGGGGAGCTTTAACTCAACTTAACAGTGGAAGGTGATGCAGGCGGAGGCGTGTCAAATGGCAAGAGCAAGAGCAAAAGAGAGAGTGTGGGGTTGGCAGTGGGAGGGTGGTGCCACACACACTTTTAAACAACCAGATCTTTCAAGAACTCCCTCACTATAGCAAGGACAGCACCAAGCCATGAGGGATCTGCCCCCATGACCCAGACATCTCCCACCAGGCCCTACCTCCAACGCTAGGGATCACATTTCAACATGAGATTTGGAGGGGGCATCCAAACTTTATCAAATGGGTAGATAGGTAGTTTTGGGGAAAGGCTCCAAGCGTATTCATATTTAAGGGTGTTCTTTAATGCTCTTAAATGAAACATTAAATGAGTTAAAACTTGTTTACAAAAGATGATTTTTAAATGGTATTCATCAGAGAATTTTTCTACACAGCAGAACAGTTTGTTGGTAACCTAATTAGAAGAATTTTTTAAACCAATTTTATTTCAAGAAGGGAAGAAAAGAGGGCAGATTGTTATGATAAATCCCAGGAGCCGTAGAAGGCAGACTTGGCCATCTGTTTTCTTGATGGGGTATTGCATCATATTACATCAGGTCTCAAGATGTTCTGACGCCAACTGTGGTTAGCTCATCAGGACCAGAGAGTTTAAATGTTGGCAGTAGAAAAATCGAACTTTCTCTCAAAAGATTCTGTTGAAAGATATCTGTGGCAGGCAGCCTCTAAGCTGGCCTCCAGTGATCCCTCCCCTGAAGTGTAAGGTGTACCTAGTAACTCACTTCCAAAGACAAGGATATGGCTAGAGTGATGGGATATCACCTTCATCCTGCTTGCCTTTCCTGCTCTCTCACTTGCCTTTTCCCTTCCTGGCTCAGAGGGGTCAGCCACCATAGTGTCTGCTGCCCAGTGGAGAGGCCCACATGGCAGGGAGCTGGGGGAGGCTCCCGAGCAACAGCCATTGAGAAGCTGAGGGCCCCCCTCCAGCAGCCTGAGAACTAAATGCTACCCGCCAACCACAGGCATAGACTTGGAAGTGAATCGCCTTGACCCAGGTGAGCCATCAGATGAGACCACAGTCCCCACCAGCACTTTGATGACAGCCTTGTGGGAGACCTTGAAGCAGAGGTGCCCAGCTGAGCCACATCTGATTCCCCACCCACATAAACTGTGATGCAATATGTGTTTGTTGTTTCAAGCTGCTAAGGCTTGGAATGACTTGTTATGCAGCAGTAGGTGTCTAATACATATCAATTACTTTTACAGTGATTTACAAAAATCTAAAGTACTATAAACTTCTTGTATTAACTTTATGTGGGATCCTAATACACTATCTCCTCAATAATACTTCAGTTTTATACTAAAGTTTCTTCATGAGTGTTTGACATAACAGTGACATGCTTTTGACTGAGAGTTCCATCCTTTCCTACAATACAATTTTAAAAGTGATGACTTTTAAAAATTCAAAATTGATTACATTTGTGAGATTTTCTTTCTATGTCTTCTTTGTCAGAGATATTTTATAGCAAAATGGGATATTTTGAATGAGGGGGTATTTAAAATGAGGAATTTGATGTTGTGTAAATTCTGTACTGATGATGATAAATGGAGACGGAGGGCTGCTGTTAATTGAGCAGATGGTATCGATGTGCACATAGCCCTCCTTTCTCCATCACTTTCCTCCTTGCTTTCTGGGGATGGTTTCATGAGAGCATATATTTGTCAAAACTTATAAAATTCTATCCTTGAAATATGATCAGTTTATTGTATATCACTCAGGCCTCCATAAAGCTGTTAGAAATATATCACAGTAATAGTAGTATATCAGCAAAAATGCCAATGCTTGTCGTTCTTTAAAATATCATGTTCTGTTATCCAGAATACCAAAACCCAGTTTTCCAGTCACTACCATCGTTCTCAGACTCCCACTCCTGCTCATGGTATAAGACTTGTATCTTCATCAAAAGTGGGTCACAGTAAAAAAGACAATAAATAAATAATTTTAAAAAGCAGTGGGGGAGGGAAGACTTGCATTTGCCAATTATAGGTGACTTTGTCTCTTCTGGTTTAAAGTAGTCTCTTTCAGGTTAACTGTCTCTCCTGGGTAAATTTGAAGTCAATTTAAACGTCTCTCTCTCAAGAATCTTGCCCCATTTTTCTTCTCCTTACTGCATCTGACTGTAAAAGGAAATTTCATATCCTTACACTAACAGCTGGCAGCTGGGGAGAGTGCCAGGCACACCATTTCATACCCTGGTGGTTTTTTTGTTTTGTGTTTGTTTGTTTGTTTTTGAGACAGTCTCGCTGTGTCACCCCGGCTGGAGTGCAGTGATGTGATCTTGGCTCACTGCAACCTCCGCCACCCAAGTTTAAGTGATTCTTCTGCCTCAGCCTCCCGAGTAGCTGGGATTACAGGTGCACACCACCATACCAGGCTAATTTTGTATTTTTAGTAGAGACAGGTCTTCACCATGTTGGCCAGACTGGTCTCAAACTCCTAACCTCAAGTAATCCACCCGCCTCGGCCTCCCAAAGTGCTGGGATTACAGGCGTGAGCCACCGCACCCAGCCCCTGGTGGGTTTCTACAGCCATGTGGTGTGGCTGTGCTGGTCCGGCCCACCTTGTCTGTTGGGGGCTTCCTTTGCAGCCCGTGGTTTCTGCCACTTGTCCCCAGGCACTGGCCACCCACAGTCCAAGCCTCTTGGGTCTGAGCCCGGCTCTGCTGGCTGCTAGTTCTCCCCCATGAACATAGGTGGTGCCAGGCCCATGTCTCAGGGGCCTATCCATCAGGTCCCCTCCATTTTGCTACCATCGAAAATGCTGCCCAGGTGGGAAGATGAGCACCGCCTCGAAGTTCACAGATTCTCGTCAGCCACTCCGGGGCTTCCGCTGTGGTTTCAACATTCACCCCGCTGTTTGACTGAGGCCCTTACAGGATGGGTCCCAAGGACTCAGGGTCCCCACCCTCACTCCTCTCTTTCACTTCCTCACCGTGCTGCCCCACTGCTTTGTTGTTCAACTTGAGAATGACTTGTGATGAAAGCCCCCTGACCATTCCCTCCCAGGTTCCTTCCGTCTCCTCCGTGAGCTCTGAGAGCCCCTCCGCTTTGCTCCTCCGGGCAGTTTGACACAATGATTAGGAATGCAAACTGGCGTCATTGCTTCCCGCAAAATAGCTGTGTACACTTGGGCAAGTCACTTAGCTTCTCTGTGCGTAGGTTTCCTCATCTGTGATATGAGAACAAGAATCGTCCCTGTTTCACGGAGTTGTGAACAGATGAAGGGTGCTTAGACCTCTTAAGTGTGGGCCACTGTCATTTCTCCCAGACTATAACCACTGCTCACTCAGATGCCCCCCTCCCATGTAAACTGCAGGTCCCATTAAGACTGTGCCTGCTAGCAGGATGAAACTGGTATATAAATTTCATGAATAAGCAGTGAATGGTGCTTCAAGCCAATGGTATTAAGTTTTTCATTCTTATTCAGTTACATAATTGGGTCTGGAGAAAATATACTTGGGATGATTTTGTGCAGTTGCAATCATGGAAATGCAGGTAGAAAGGCATTGTTTCAAAAGATTTAAGTCTTCTGATTAAATCACGTTGGTTTACACCTAAAACTGTCCTTTCCATAGCTAACAAGGATTATATGCTGTGTGCTCAATGTTCATGAATTTCCCTTATCAGGAACTTCTCCCATTTTCTCGCGTGTCAAAGAATAGGTATTCAAAAATATATTTTCTGTAAATGAAATGATTCTTTACTTTCATATAGACAGGGTAAAATCTAATTTATTATTAAGTGGCAAAACCAAGTTGAAAGCACTATGTACAACTGTAACCCCAAATATGCTAAAATATTTATATTTTTATATATATATATATATATTCACAAACAGATTTAACTTATTAAATCTATGTTTGCAGGCCAGGCACGGTGGCTCACACCTGTAATCCCAATACTTTGAGAGGCTGAGGTGGGCAGATCACCTGAGGTCAGGAGTTTGAGACCAGCCTGGGCCAACATGGTGAAACCCCATCTCTACTAAAAATGCAAAAATTAGCTGGGCTTGGTGGCGGGTGACCGTAATCCCAGCTACTCAGGAGGTTGAGGTGAGAGGATTGCTTGAACCCGGGAGGTGGAGGTTGCAGTGAGCCGAGAATGCACCACTGCACTCCAGCCTGGACAACAGAGCAAGACTCCGCCTCAAAAAATAAATAAATAAAATAAATATATATTTGCAGATGGATGGAAACTTCAGGAAGGATACACCAGAAACTGTCACCATGGCTACTTCTAGGGGCTAGAGTGGTAGGGTTACTTTTTGTTTCATATTTTTCTCTACTGTTGGAAATAGAGAAAATAAGTGTTATTTTTATATTTATAATAAAAACCCTCACTAAAACATATATGTAAG